AGCGACTCATAAGACCTTTTCCCTTGCACAGCATTCGCGCTCTTTTCGCATCCGTTTGGTTGAGCTGGTGTTGGGTTCGTTGGCTGCCTCTCTCCCCCCTTTCTGCTGTCTGCTTCGGCTGCCTCTCTCTCAGGGGCCTTTGGGGCCTCCCTGCGCGGTAGCAGTCGCTTCACCAGAAGGACTGACCGCAAGAAAGATCTCCACACAGGCTGCGGTGTCTGTACACCCGGCGGGGGTGTCTGCGCACCCAGCTGCTGCGGTGTCTGTACACCCGGCGGGGGTGTGTGCGCACCCGGTTGTGTTCGTGGCGTCGGTACACCCGGCGGAGGTGTATTCACACAGGGCTGTGGTGTCTGTACACCCGGCCGAGGTGTATGCACACAGGGCTGCGGTGTCTGTACACCCGGCCGAGGTGTCTGTATACCCACAGCGGCTGCTGGCTCCCCGGTGCTGCCCACAGCAGCAGCAGACTCAACGGGGGAGAAAGGAACACTCCTAGCGGGTTCAACAGAAGCAGCCATGGGCACTGCTGCGGGGGTCCCCTTGCTACAACTAATGCTGCTGCTGCTGCTGCCTTTGCTGCTGCTGCTGCTGCTGCTGCCAGATATCCCAGCAGCAGCAGCAGCAGCAGCAGCAAGCGGCGTGAAAGCTGAACCACCCGTAGCCCCCCGCACAAGCGAATCTCCTACAGAAGAGTGCAGCGAGTCTGAGGCTCTGCTGCGCCCGTTGCTGCTGGCCAACTCAAAGGCCCCACGGAAACCTATCCAGGCACCGTCATCGAGGAGACAGCTGCTGTGAATCATATCCGGGTTACTTGGCACCTGCTGCTGCTGCTGCTGCTGCTGCTGCTGCTGTTGCTGCTGTTGCAGCTGCTGCTGGTTTTGGGACTGCTGGTGCTGTAGGGACTCCTGCTGCTGCTGCTGCTGCTGCTGCTGCCGGTGCTGTAGGGACTGCAGCTGCTGTAGGGAATGCTGCAGCAGCTGCTGCTGCCGTCGGGTCTGCTGCTGCTGTTGGGACTGCTGCTGGTGTAGGGACTGCTGCTGCTGCTGGTGATGTAGGGACTGTGGCTGCTGTTGGGACTGCTGCTGCTGCTGCTGCTGCTGTGGGGGCTGCTGCTGCTGGTGATGCGGTAGTGACTGCTGCTGTGTGGACATCTGCTGCTGCTGCTGCTGTGTGGACTGCTGCTGCTGTCGTGCCGGCTGCTGCTGCTGCTGATGCTGCTGCTCCTGCTGCTGCGGCTGCAAGGAGAGGCCCCCACCACAGACAGGCACGTCGGCGCTGCTCTGCTCTTTCGTTTGTATTACGGGGGGCAGATGAGTCGTTGCTGGGCACCGCTGGCTGGCAGCCTGCGGCGCACACACAGCCGCAACCCTTCCAAACCCTAAACCCTAAACCCTAAACCCTTAGAGCTGAACCATACACACCCAAATAAACCCTAAACCCTCTGCATGCATACACACAACACCCCTGCACATGAGCTGACATCTGCCGTCAGCATGTGCTTACGGGGTGTACAGACAGATGCACTGTTCTTTGCTGCANACATGAGCTGACATCTGCCGTCAGCATGTGCTTACGGGGTGTACAGACAGATGCACTGTTCTTTGCTGCAGTTACACCCCCATGCATGCACCCAACAACCTCGCATGCATACATGCATGCACCAAAGCCTCGCGCATGCAACAAAAGTGCGCATGCATGCATGCATGCATGCATGCGCTATGCGCTGGTATAGTCAACAAAACTATGCATGCATGCAGCCGCCACTAGAAGGGGCTGCTGCAGTCTGCTGCTTCTGCTGCACCAGCACTGTTGGAGGAGAAGTGAAGGAGCTGCAGCATAGGTTAAGCCCCCGCTCCATCTGCTCAAGCTCTAGCAGCCAGCCGGCTGGTGCAGCAGCAGCAGCAGCAGCAGCAGCAGCAGCAGCAGCAGGGCTGTTCTGAATGCTCACGGGTTCTACGAAGAAATGAAGAGGGGGAGAAGCAGACGGCCGAGCGTCTCCCTCACCGGCCCCCGTCAAGGCAGCACTCAACCTACAAACAAAGAGAGAGAAAAAAGAGCTAATACAAGCAGTGCATGCAGCGGCTGTATATACACTTCTCAGTTTCTCTATTTCTTTCTAGTGATGGGGCTGCTGTAGTTGCCTCGGGTGTACAGACACCGCAGCAGCAGCAGCAGCAGCAGCAGCAGCAGCANCGCCTGCAGCTTCAGAAGAAAGGCGTCACAAGCAACAGGAAAAGGCCGCCCTTCTGCTGCTGCAGCCCTCGCCTGCACCACACCACCTAAGCAGCAGCTAGCTCACTGCAGCAACTAGCCAGCTAGCTGCTAGCTAGCTAGTTGAAGCACAGGGCTGCAGCAGCTAGCTGCTGCATCTCTCTCCCCCCGCCCGTCTCCCTCAGTCCCCCTGGCTGCTCATGCGGTGTATATACATCTATACGGCTACGGTATAGGGCTTACTGCTTTCAGAAGCTCAAGGGCGCAGCCAGCTAGCGGCTGCAGCAGCTGCTGCAGCTGCTGCAGCTGGTGCAGCTGGTGCACTTGCTGCAGTTGCTGCTGCTGCTGCTGCTGCTGCTGCTGCTGCTGCTGCTGCTGCTGCTGCTCATCCAGTGGCTTCTGCTGCCCCTGCGTCGCTTCTTGCAACCAGCAGACACCCGGGTGGGCGCTGCTGCCAAGCATGCGCAACAGGCGGCCTACTGGTGCATTCCTATAGAAATCATCACCACTTGCTGCTGCTGCTGCTGCTGCTGCCGCTGCTGCTGCTGCTGCTGCTGTTGCTGTTGCTGCTGCTGCTGTTGCTGTTGCTGTTGCTGTATCCGTCACATTTCCTGCTTCTCCATTTGCACCTACTGTTGCTGCTGTTCCTGCTGCTTCTGCTGCTGCTGCAGCTGCTAATGCTGCTGCTCCTGTGTGTGCTGGTGGTTCTGCTGCTGTAGAGAAACTGGGTTTTGTAGGCGAGCTTCGTGCTGCTTCTGCTGCTGCAGGCTCCGCGCGCTGCTCCGCCTGGCTGACGAACCGGCT